GATCATATACGTGCCGGGGGTCAGCGTTGGCGGCGCGAGCGACTGGAGCAGCAGCTGCCGCGGAGCTTCCGACGGCGGCGCGAGCGGCGGCGGCGGGGCCGCGGCCGCACCGGCGCGCACGCGGGCACGCGTGGAAGACGGTCGGGCGCTGCAGCGCGGCGGTTCGCGGGGCGCGCAGGTGGCTGTGGCGGGAGATTACGAGGATCCTCCGATCGAGTGGGGCGTGCCATCATATCAGTCAAACGACTGGGCGCACACGACACGGCACGGCTCGTCTGGAGGCGGCGGCCGCGTCGACGACCGCGCCGGGCCCGGGCGCGCGAGCGGCCGTTTTGACAGCCCCCCGCAGCGGCGCGGCGACGGGCGCGGGGGCGCAGATGAGGGCCTGAGGAGCATCTACGGGGCACGGGACGAGCAGCAGGCCACGGGCAGCTGGAGGGAAGCTGCTGACAAATACAGGGCTCGTGCCGATGAGGGCGCCGCGGGCGGCGCGGAGGCAGCGTGGGAAGGCTCGAGAGGGGCCGGCGGCGACCGCGGGGGCGGCAGGCCACAGCGCTCGCCCAGCGGGATCGCAGCGGCGGACCTACGGGCGGCGGCGCGCTCGCCCGACCGCCACCAGGAGCCTGCGCCAGACCCGCAGGCTGAGATTGACCGCGGTTCGCCCGGGCGCGCGCGGCTGTCGTCGCGCTCACTGCAGCAGCAGCAGCAGCAGCAGCAGCAGCAGCAGCAGCAGCAGCAGCAGCAGCAGCAGCAGCAGCCCCAGCAGCAGCAGCAGCAGCTGCAGCCCCAGCCGCAGTCACAGCCCGCACGGCCGCCAAGCGCCCCTCGGTCTCCCTCCACCCGGTCCGCGCAGCGCCCAGACGCAGCCACAGCAGCCATGCCTGCCCCGCCGCCGGCGCGCTCGCCGTCGCCCGTCCCGCACAGCTACGCGGCGCGCCACAAGCCGCAGCCGGCGGCCCCTGCGCCCGTACACGTGCCCGTGCCCGCGCCCCGCACGCACGTGCACTTGCAACACAGCGGCGTGCGGCAGCGGAGGAGCAGCGGCGGCTCCAGCGGCGCCGGCGCCGGCGCCGCCGCGGACTTCCCCCGCGCGTCCCAGGCGTACCCCGCTCCTCGGCGACAGTCCGGGGGATCCTCGCGGCGGCAGTCCGCGTCCATCGGCGGCTCGCAGTCCATCAGCCCGATGACGTCGATTGGCAGCAGCCAGATCGGCGATGATGATGTCATGATTGAGGAGGTGCCGCCCGCTGCACCCGCTCGGGTTTCCAGCAGAACGCAAGCCGTCAGCAGCTCCCCAGCTCCACCGCAGCGGGCGGGCAGCGGCGGCCTGCCGGGCCCGTCGCAGAGGCGCGCTACGGCCGAGCGCGCGCCAAGCGCAGGCGTGGAGGGGGCTGGCAGGGCGGGCGCCCGCGAGCGCGCGGCCGCGGCGCCAGGGGGGCCGGCGGCTGCAGTGTCGCCCGCGGCGGCTCCTGGCCGCTCAACGCGGGCGCCTCCGGCGGCTGCGCCAGTGGCAGCGGCGGCAGCGGCTGCCTCTGGCAATAGCCTACGGTCGCAGCTCCACCAAACACCACAGAAAACGCAACAGAAGCAGCGGGAGCAGCGGGGGCAGCAGGAGCAGGAGCGGCAGCTTCAAGAGGGGCAGCAGGACGAGCAGCAGCGGCTTCGCGAGGAGCAGCAGCAGGAGGACGAGCACAAACATCAAAAGCAGCAGCGGCGGCAGCAGCACCAGCACCAGCAGCAGCAGGAGGAGGAGTACGACCGTGAGCAGCAGCAGAAGCACCAGCAGCAGCAGCGGGAGAAGCCACAGAGGCAAAACCCATGCCTAACATTGAGCCCTCGCGAGCCCGCCGTGCCTCCGCCGCCCGCGCCAGCCGCCCCAGAGCCCGCGTCCCTCGAGCGCGGCCGCAGCGGCCACGGGCTGCTTGCCGCCCCCGCCCCCGCCCCGGGGTCCCCGTCAAAGCGCGACCGCCGCGCGACCGCCGACAAGGCGGCCGCGGCCGCGGCCGAGGCCGTGGCCGCCGCGGAGGCCGCGGCGGCGGTGGTGCGGTCGTTCGTCGCGCTGCAGGGAGCGGGCGACGAGAGCGACAGCTGTTACAGTGAAGGGGTGGACGTGGAGGTTGTGCCAGCTGGCGCCGCTGAGTCAGCGGGCGCGGCGGCGGCGCCCGCCGGGCGGCGGGAGAAGCCCGGGATGCGCTGGGTCAGCGAGAAGCGGGAGCAGCGCGCGAAGAGCAGCGGCAGCCGGCTGGCGGGGCCGCCGATGGCGGAGCCGTCGCCGTCTTGCGGCAGCAGCGGCGGAGGCGGCGGAGGGCTGAGCGCGTGGCTGCCCTGGAATTGGCAGAGGCAGTCCTCAGCATCCGAGGAGACGCGGCTGCGGGTCGAGGCGCGGGCGCGCGCGGCCGACGATGCCCGCGGCGCGGCTGCCGCGGCCGCAGGGCGTGGCGGCGGCGACCTGGTCAACTCCAACGGCTCTCAGATGCTAGCGGTGACTCCTGGCACGGTGGCCCCGCTGCTCACGGAAGGAGGGGCCGAAGAGGAGCAGCAGCAGCAGCAGCAGCAGCAGCAGCAGCAGCAGCAGGAGAAGCAGCACAAGCAGAAGCGCAGGCGGTCGCGCGCCAGCCAGTCGGGGCAGCCCCCCGCCGCCCCCCAGCCGCAGCCGCAGCCACGCCCGCCGCTCCGCCGCTGGCTCACTGGGCGCGTCGCGCGCTGCATCGTGGCGCCCGTCATCCTCGTCGCCCTGGTGACGGCGGTGACCCTGGCCGTCGCGCTTTCCGAGGTTGCCAAGAACAAGGCGGCGAAGAGCAGGGCCGCCAAGGCCGCGGAGCCGACGATGGACGTCGTGGCTTTTGAGGTTGAGCTGGTGGTGCCGCCGCCGAAAGGGGCGATGCCGTTCTGGGGGTGCGGCGCCATACTCGGTGATGCCAAGGTGTGATGGGCTCTGATTTTAGGCGGAGGGCGGGTGCGCGGGGACACCATGTTTGTTCAGCATGACGGCGCCGGCGCCGACGAGGGGCCAGCTCGGGGGTGGGCGGGCGGTGCCGAGAGAGCGCTCGGGGGGCCACGGGCAGTGTTACGGCGCTGGGCTGGCCCTGGGGTCGGCTCCGCCTTGAGGCTGAGTGGGGATTTCTTGCGAAAGGCATGCCGCTGCAGGCGGCGCATGTACCGCAGCCCCAGCCCCTGACTTCTGCGCCTGCTGGGCCCCGACAAGCTCCAGGCAATTCTGATCACGCCGCTTCAACTTCCACACGTCGCTCATGACAACCCCTGCAGGCCAAGGACAAGTATCGAGCCGCGTTCATCGACGCGTATTCTCGGGGGCTGTCCATACCGCCGGACGCGATAAGCGTCAAGGCGAGCACCTGCGCGGCAGACACCACTGCAAAGCCCCCGCCCCCCGGCCCCCAGCTGATCGTCGCAGCGTCGGCCCCTCCGCACGGCAGCAGCGGCGGCGGCAGCAGCATCAGCAGCGGGGGCAGCAGCAGCAGCGGCGGCAGCAGCGGCAATCAGTGGGGGACGCGGCCGCCGGGCGCGGCCCCGACGACCACGTACTACCCGGCCCCCGCGACGGGTGGCTTCTCGGGCGTCGCCGTCGTCCAAGGCAACAACGCCAGATCGAATCAGCAGATGGCGATCCTCGGACGGCGGCGGCGGCGCGAGCTGCTGCAGGCGGCGCGGGCGCAGCCGGCGGTGATCAAGACGAGGTTCACGGTGGAGGCCCCGAGGAGTGAGTGCGATCTGGGGAGGGGGTGTCTGAGATCTCGGATATGAGATCCGGAAGGCTGACGGGTGCAATAATGCTGGCAGTAAGCGGCCGGCACAAAACCGGGGGAGCTCTCGGGGTACAGCAGGCCCAACTTGGGCGCGTGAGCTGCTTCTGAAGTGTCCAGCTTGTCAGTGCGCACCCCCCAAAGCCACCATTTGACATACCGTGCCGGCTTGCCGTCCCGCCCCCTCTGCGCGCTCAAGACCAGTATGCGTGGTTCACATCTGCACCACGGCGACCTGTCCCCAACCCCTCAACCCCCCCTTCCGCCGCCCCGCCCTGCCTCGGTCCCCCGCAATTCATATGCTCGCCCCAGGCCCTTCGTCTACGATGCTAAATATCATCGAAAAGATCTCATCCAGCAGTCAACACATGCTGGCGCCCTCCCTCGAGGCCGACCTCAAATGGCCCGGAGGAATATCCGTGTCCCGCCCCAAGCTGCTGATTGAAGGCGCCCCCGCGGCGCCCGCCCCCGCCCCGGCAACCAGCCCCGCGGGGGGCGTGCAGAAGCAGGCCGCCGCGCCGCAGCTGGTCGCGTCCGGCCCGCAGCACGGCGCGGCGTCGCCGCCGCCGTCGGCGGATTCGGACGCGTTCCATAGGCGCCCTGGGCCACCAGAGGAGTATACCTGGGGGCCGGCGCCGCCCTCATCGTCCCAGAGGGGCTCCAACCCTTGGAATTCCCTCAATCCCTTCGCGTCCGGCCGCGCGCCGCCGCCGCCGCCGCCGCCATCCTCATCATACGGCGGCGAATGGGGCTCGCAGCGCGAGTCGCGCTACATTGCGCTCCCGGAGGCCGCCGCCGCGCCGGGCGGCGGCGACCCCGGCGGCTGGGCGGCGGCCGCGGCGGCGGCGGTGCGGGAGCTCGGGGCCAACCCGCGCCTGCTGTCGCCGCCGCAGCCGCCGAGCCGCGACCTGAGGAGCAACAAGTGGACCCCTCGGGACCTGGAGGACCCCAATTGGACCCGCGCACCCCGCTGCGACGGCGGGCCGTCGCCTAGGGTTTCAGTCGTTAGAGACACGGTCGGGCGCCTGTGGGGGTGGCACCGCGGCGCCAGCTGCGCGTTCAAGGACGTGAGGAACGTGCCGACGGTCGACCTGTCGCCGGCCGTCGGGGCGACTTGGGAGTCGGCGCCGGCGTGCAGGGGGCTGCGGACGGGCGCGAACAGCGTGCGGGACAACTGGGGCCGGCCCTGGGGGTGGCAGGGCGAGAGAAGCTGCGCGTTCAGGGGCCCGAACAATAGCGAGGTTCGGCCGCAGTGGGAGACCGCAGAGCAGTGCCGCGCGGCGTGGGCGCCGGGCGCGGGGGCGCGGGACAACTGGGGGCGGTGGTGGGGGTGGCAGGAGGGCAAGAGCTGCAAGTTTGAGGGGGTCACGGCCTAGGCTGAGCTGGCGGCCTCCACAGCAAGAGGTCTGCTGATCTGCATACGCAAATCAAGATTCCAAGCGACCTGATCTGACCTGTTCACATGACATGCAACGCTGCTGTCCCTGGCCGGTTGTTGTGCTGCTCTCCAAGCACTGCACCGCCCTCTTGCCCTGTGGCCTGAGCCACAGCGCAAGGAGTGGTTCCCGGCAAGGAGTGGTTTTCTCTGCTTTCCCATCAGCTCGCGTGCTTGAGGGCTTGCAGGATTTGAGTGATTTGCCAGGCCTGACTGACTTCTATCCGAGGGCCGCAACTGATTGCGCCTTTGACCAATTGACCAGACCCCGCGGAGCCGGGCCCCTGCGCACTGCTTGAGCCCATACATCAGCGCCGCTGCTGGATGTGCAGCGCGCGCCCGTTCGGCCGCTGCGGAGGGCCCCACAGCATGCAGGAGGTGGATGGGGGGTCAGGCCTTGCCGGGCTTTGGGGTCATGCGGCCCCCCCAGCCGTCCGGACCATGGGCTCGATTGGACGCGGGCTCGGCTCGGCACGGCTCGCGTGCGGCGCGTTGGGCGCGAAGGCATCGAGCCCGTTCCTAAGTCCGCTGCGGCGATGTGACGCCACTTTTGTGTGTTCTTATTCGTGACGGCGCTTGATTGATCATTTGGCACATTCCGGGTAAACTCTCTCTTGTCTGCCACATTGCCAGACCCAGAAGTATCCTGGGTGCAACAAAGCGTTCCACCCGGCAGGCAGGTTGCGCCTGCCTGAGTACTGGCAGTGACAGGGGCCACCAGCCAACAGCCGCAGGGAGCAGCTTGGGGGTCCAACGCTTGGCGGAGCCACGTTGTATTCACTGCCCCACCCCGCTCCCACCGCTGCCCCCCCCCTTGCGACCAGTTCCCTGTTGCGGCCAGCCTGGTGTGGGTTCCATAACGCCACTCCCGTGCCCGCGTGCCGTGGCCGTTCAGCCCAGCGGCGCCTTTACACATAGCAAAGCGCCAGGCAGCCCAGCCAGCAGATCCGGGGTGGGCCGACGGCTGCGGTCAGGCGGCCGCCGCGCCGCCAAAGCCGCCGCCGCCGCCGCCGCCCGCGAAGAATTTAGCGTACGCCGCGGCCGCCCTCAGCGACACGCCCCCGCAGTGGCGGCGCGCCCACGCCACCGCGGCCGCGAGATCCTCATCTGAGATCTCGACGCCATCCGCCCCCTCGGCTTCCTCTTGAACGCTCTGGAGGACCGAGGCGCCGGCGGCCGCGGCAGCGGCCTGCGCGCCGGTGGGCGAGAGCCGCTGCTGCTGGTAGGCCGCGAGCAGCTGCGCGAGCGCCGCCCTGCGGTCGCGCGGGGCGCCGGCGGCGCGGGGCGGGGACGATCGGCGGAGGTGGCGCCGGCGTTGCAGCGGGCGGCACCTGCTGGGCTGTGATTGCTTCCCGGGGCCTGCCGCTCCGGGCGCTCGCAAGCGCACACGCGCAACCCCTCCTGCACGCCGGGGGCACGCACTCGCTACGATGCAACGCACTCGACGCAGCGCCACACTGACGCGCCCCCCTGACACGAGGCCACCCACTCGACGCGACCTCATGCGGACCATACGCATGGCGTCACCCGACACGACATCATCACGACATCATGATGATGTCACGCGCTCGTCACGCCCCCACCTGAAACCCTCCTCGGGCAGCTCGTCCGTGACCACCAGCACCCCCGCCCGCTGCACCAGCGGGTCCGTGGGTGTCACAGTGCTGCTGCTGCTGGCGCCGATGTACAGCAGTGTGTTGGACGGCCACCCGCTGCCGCCGGCGCCTGAGAGGCCAGAGGACAGGTCCTGGGG